ATATTTGTACCACACAACCTAGTTTGTTCAAAGAGTTGTTTCGGCTTTCTCCACATGGCTCCTATGGCTTAGGAAGCTCTGGGACTGGCTCTTTGTTTAGTCACGGAGTTGCTGAGGAAGAGGTAACTGGTGCTTTGTACCATGATGCTGGGAGTTTTGATATCAAATCTGCAGCTAGAAAGAGGGAAGGTAAGGATATTAAGCATCATACCAGTGAGAAACAAAGGAGAGTTCATTTCAGTGACAAGTTCCAAGCATTGAGGGCTTTGATCCCAAATCCCTCAAAGGTATGTATATATTGTTATTCACACTACATTTTCTGCTACCTAAATTTGTCCTTAATTTTCTGTTTTCTGTTCATATCCTTCTTTTCATGAAAAAATATTTACTTTACGGACACAGATCTGTAGGCAAATACCAATGAGTCATTTAGCAACAAATCCTAATTTGTTATCTTATTTACCAACTATTTAATGCTTGCATTAGGGTAGGATATACTTTGCTTGAATGCGAAATGTTTTGTATAGCAGGTTGTCCTCATTTATTTTTTGTTGGTACATTTCGTTTCTTTCTGGGTGTAGTGTGAATTTCGCATTCTTTTATTCTATGTTGTTCTCATATTTTTTGTTGTGTAAGTCTACATGATGTTGGGAATTTCAAGAATGACATATAGAGCATAAATTGTTGTTATAACAAAATTTTGGAGTAAAGAAAAAGGTTAATTAACTTGTTTAGGAATCAATTAGTGCACTTGATAGGGTTTAATTTGTTTTGTTAAATTGACATAATTTTTGTGAATACAAGAATGATAGAGCAACAATTATTGCGGATGCTATTGGCTACATCAATATGCTGAAAACAAAAGTAAATGAGCTAAAGAATGAAGTAGAAAAGAAAGAGAGGGTCAAAAGGCAAAGAACAGAAGATGGTTCATGTGGTTTCAAAACAGTAATGGCCGAAGCTGCTGAAAATAATGTGAACATAAAGAGTTCATGGCTTCAAAAGAAATCAAAGAACACTGAAGTTGATGTTAGAATTATGGATGATGAGGTAACTGTTAAACTTGTCCAACAGCAGAAGAGAATGAATTGCCTTCTCTTTGTTTCAAAAGCCTTTGATGAGTTTCAGTTGGATCTCCATCATGTTTCTGGAGGATTAATTGGTGATCACTATAGCTACCTCTTCAACTCTAAGGTACTTAATTCTTCTTCCTTCTATACGTTATGTAGAGTCAGTGAGTTCAAATTAAAGTACTCCATATATGTATGTATGGAGTACTTGATTTGAACCTGCAGAACTCGCTCCCTAATTTTGTACAATGTATACAGATTTGTGAAGGTTGTACAGTGTATGCAAGTGCAATAGCAAACAAGGTTATTGAAGTTTTGGACAAGGAATTGAACATGCACCAAGTTGCAACCTTTAATTAAGTTGGAGTTCTTAATCTTCTTGTTTCATCCAATGATTTCTGCTTTGTAATACATTCTGGTGGGCATAGAGAATGGAATATAACATATTTCTTGAGTTTTTTAAAAGATTTTAATAATTACTAATTTCCATTGAAAAGATTTATATGGTTAAAATTTATGATTACTTTGCATTGAAAAGATACTCTTGCATTACTGAATACTATTCTTTATTCTTTTATCTTATGGCTTCAGCAGGATAATTCTAATAATGAATTTTCGACACTAGGGTTAATCTGCCACTGGTGATATATAAATAGATCAAAAAAGCATTTTTAATTTCCATTTCCATGATTTTTTGCACGTTTTTCCTACTCTATTTCCTTTTCATCACCCCGTTCTCCTAACACATTTCCTAATTGTGTAGCCCTAGCCCATTCAAAAGCACCAAATTTCCTTGTTTGACTTCGATATACATTTGTTCTGACTTCCGCAAAATCCTTTTAGTGTGTTAAAAATATGTCTTTATCTTTATTATATTAAAAAGGAAGCTTTTATACTTTTCTCATGCCCCATTTGGATCTCTTTTGGTCAACGCGAGTTCACCCGTTGACCATGATTCTACTTATTTTTGGTGTAACATTAATTAAATAAATAAAAGAAAAGAGAGATAAATCTTCCATGAAAACGGACTAATCTCCGTTTTGGTCGGATGTCGATGTACAACATTCTTTAACAATATCTTGTATAGAAATGATGTTACTGGATTATTTCCTTAAAAAAATTGTCAAATATAAAATAAGTTAATAGTTTATTGTGTTTGCACAATATATATTCAGGAGTCGCTAGTATTTGCACCAAACATGTATGATTTGCTTATAAATGTATTCAGCAACAAAATGGGACATTATCTATCTCGGTTTGTCTTCATGATTTGTGTGAAACTATTCCTTCCAATGTATTGTGTGAATAATGAAATGGTTTTAAACTCTTCCACCATGATATAATGTCTTTTTAAGAAAAGGATGTGAGATGCATGCCGCAACGAAGAAATAAAGAGATCCTTCTATTAACTATCGTATAATGATGTAATTGTTGGGTTTTTTGAGTAAAGGGTGAGAATGAAAAACGGAGGGGAAAAATAAAATTTTGAATTAATTCCTTTACAAAGAAACTTTATCCTTCGTCGGATAGGAAGAGAAAAATTCTTGTGCTTATATATAGAAGCTCTTCTAACTCTTCAAGAGTTGAGAAGAGCAAGCATCGCGTCGTTGTCGTCACTTAGCTTCGGCTTCGAATTTAATAGTAATTTAAATAATTTCTACCGAATAGACACCTTGTTAAATGAAAGTCATTTTTGCACATGTTGGAACTCAACTTCGTTGGTTATAAATACAGAGATCCTCATTTTTCAGACACCGAAATCTGCAAACACTCTCCTCTCTCTTCTGCATTGTTTCATTATTTTCTTCATGGGAAAAAGTAAGCATCAAGTGTGATTTGCTCCGCCAATTGAGTTCGTTGATGTTTTGTGATTTGTAGTGCCACTACATAGAGTAGTTATTCCTTTCTATCCTGAGAGAAATTAATTCAAAACCTTGAGCAACCGTGAGGGGATTAAATTCTTTAAGGATACACAAGCAACTTGTGGGCTCAAAATTATTTTTTTGTTTCTGTTTATTGCATTATGCTTTATTGCTTCTTTGATTTTTCTGGTTTTGAACATGGTTTACTAACAATATATTTTCACCTTAACTTGTACGGTAACTCTTATGATTTATTTCGGTTCGATGTTATATGACACTCTATTCCCAAAAAAAAGAGAGAGAGAGAATGCTCTATATGTAGTCAACTAACTTTTAAAAGCTTTTATTAGCAAAAAGAGAAGAAGAAAAACTTTTAAGCTTTTCATTTTACGATGATATGATAATATAGACGCATAAATTTCAAAATGTTTAAGATTACAAACTCCTCTAATTCTTTCTTTATTTCTTCAATTCCATTGCTAACACCTTCGCATAAATAAAACGCATATACTATTAGTTGTTTAGTTTGATGCAAATATTAATTCTTTCCCGTATAACTTTTCATATTTTACAGGTTTCATCTACGAGGATAATTGCCAAGCTGGGGAATAAATCACAGATGATCTCATCTGAAAGGGAAGTGATCGCCACTGATTCGCTTGAAAAAGACATGTACAATATTTGGAAAATGACATAAATTATTTTTTTTTAAAAAGGAATTTTCTTGCATAAACTACGGAAAAATAAAATATGGGAATTCAAGCTTTGTTGTAAGGTTTTTTAAAAATTTCTTGAGGATATCCCGAAGTCCCACCACGCTAACCTTCGAGATAAACAATATTTAAGACCTATATTTATACACATTTTTACCCAACTATGTTCTAGAAAGCAGGCTGCTATTCTCTATTGAAGGTTTTAGAATCAGATATTATTTAATACTACTATTTGGAGTCATAATATGTTACTAGAATTGATCAACTTTGTGACAGCTACTGCATTGACAACCAAGTTGACAAAGTTGTTTGCAATTTTTAAAAAAGTTCTTTAAGTAGAAAACCTCTTCTTTTTTCTTTTTTGTCTTTTTAATGTGAAAAAGGTTTAAATTTTGTTTATATGGGGGATGTCTACATCATAAAATCCATTAAGAGGAAAAGTGACGTCTACTTGATTATCTTTCTTTTCCTTGTTTTCTTTAATTTAAGTTTTGATACAAAGTATATATTGTTTACCCACCATGAAGGAAACTACGTAAGAATTAGTGCAAAATTACTACAGTAAGGACATTTTGATGGTAAGGTTTTCAACTTTAGTTGCTAAGACGAGCTCATAAGATCTCAAATATATCGTTTTATTATCTTTGTTCATTCCTTGCTTAGATAGGATGGCACCTATTGGGTTTTCCTTTAATTTAATTACTACTTCTCTCTACTGGTGTTTGTTCTTGCTTCGTAGCTCATTTTTTGTGCCAAAAATGGGGGAAGAGCAGTACACAATCAGGTCACACATAAGATCATTATGGGTAAACTTCAATGATAATCATTGACAGAATTTGAAGTTTATGAGTTTCAAAATTGCCACCAAACCCGTTACTAGGTTCACAATTAAATATCTATACATATTTAATGGATTTTCTACTACAAAAACAGGATCTAAACAAAAGCTATTTGATTCATCCGAAGCCGTACGCAATACTCTACCTCCCCCTTGAGCAATTACAGTGTCTATTTGTGAGGTCAGCAATTGTACTTATTATGGATGATTGCATATAATTAATCTTTTAGGTAATATATATAAAAGTTAAACTCATTAAAAAATGGAGAAGTGATATAAAGCACAAACATCCCTAGAGATGGAACCAAACAACAAAAGTCAAAGAGTAGAGATAGATTAACCTTTTACTGGTCGTGCGCTGCTTTTGCATGGACTATTGCCTGCTATACTGTCTCTACAGTAATAGTACAGCCATGCAAATTAAAATAGGTTTGACTTAAGTTCAAGAAAGAAAAATAAAACATTGTTCATAACGTAACATCCCTTATGATGTTCTCTAGATGATCGCCCATGGACCTACTGTTGAAAGTATCTTTTTTCCATTCACATTAATATCATATAATTGAGTTAACTTACAGAGTTCTTTTTTATTACCTCCTTATTAATCCTCTTTTCTACACAGCAACTTTCAATCTCAGCTCTTCAATGCCGAGTCCATCAATCCCACGTTCAAAATCTGTTCCCTACAACATATCAGAAACTCAAAATTCTCCTACAAACTCACTTACAATACCTCCTTCAGTAAGATCCTCCAAATCAGCTGACTCATTAAAACCAACATGGCCTAAAAAAGCAAATGAGCTTATATCAAGAAAGGTTGGCTCATCTTCAAATAACTCAAATTTAACAGCTGATAATCTCGCGGAATTCAATAAAAGAAATACAATTCAAGAAGAAAAGAGATACTCTGCAAGAAGTCCATATTATAAAGGACTTACTGATTCATCCAAAGTGATTAATCGACAGAAGTTATTAGCAGAGTTTAGTAGTCCTGGAAAAGATAGCATATCGGCTTCTTCTACAAGTTCAAATTCTAAATCCAATTTAGCCAGCAAGGTAATGTTGAAGCGCGTGACCATTTCGTCTAAAAGCTTAAACCGTTTAAGAGAGCATATATTTTTTTAATTACTTAATTATATTATGTCTCACCAGGTACAAGAATGGAGTGCATCTTACTTTGTACGCAAAGGCAAAGAAGAAAGAACATCCTCCTCCTTGACTACTTCTACTGGGAACAAGAACATCCAAGATTCTTCTTCATCAGAGACAAAAGATAAAGGAGTAATCAGAACGACAATCGGAGAAGAACTTGGTATAGATCGCAAAGGAGTTAGAAGAAGTTCAAGAAAAAGCAGACACAGACTTTCAAAATCAGATCAGGGGAAGCCTTTGAGGGAGAGAGCATCAGAAATGCAAACAAATATAGTAGTACTACCACCACCCCCTGCACCACCAATAACATCACCACCAAAATTGTCAATACCATCTCCACCGCCAACTCCATTAATATTGCAAACGTCATTGCAAGATGAAGAAATTGAAGCAGTACCATTACCAGCTTCACCAACTCAAACTACAGAGGATGAAAAAGATACTACAAAGGAGCAGGATATTACAAGTCCAGAACAGAAAGACAAAAGATTTAAATGGGCTGATAAGTATAGGCCTAATGCTCTTAAAGATTTTCTATGCAATAGAAATACTGCACTTGAACTGAAGGCTCTGGTATATATGAAATTAATCTTGAACAATCTTTTTCCAAATTTTCCTTATTCATAGCAAAATACTAAGACACGACACGCTTTTTGGATTCTAAAATTTGCAGGCAGAAACAGATAGCAGTAATCGTCATTATATATTTGCAGGACAGCCAGGAGTAGGGAAAAGAACCATGATATTTGCTCTGCTTCGCGAAGTTTTTGGACATGATAAATTACAGGTATATATAGTGTACATTTAATTGATTCTCTTTAAAGCTACAAAAGTATCAAAAGGTTTAATCCAGAAAATATGTTAATTTGCCACTTTAGTAATAAAAAGCTAGACGTGAGTTGTAAATATCACGAGTTTAACTTCTATATACTACAAGTGCAAACAAACTTTTCAAGTAATAAGTCACCTTAAAAGTAACTACAAATAACTATGCATGGAAAGTAAGAGTAGTAACCAAAAAAAAAAAAAATAGGTTGGTTACCTGCTGTAACATGTTAAAGTACGCTGATAGTAAAAACATTTTTTAACAATGTCAGTGTATGTATGTTAAATCCAAGAATCGCCGATATCATGTTCTATCAGAGAATCGCCGATATCAGCACTTATCAAATCATTGACTGATGATGGTTTCTTTGCTTTTACAGGCAAGAAAAAAGTGCAAGGTGTTCTACTTAAAGGTATGAAGACCTTTGTATTGTGTTCATAGATTATGCATACAAAGATCTGAAAATGTGTTTCATATATAGAGCCCATTAGATGTCTATTATTGGTGGCATTTGAACATATTGAAAAAGTTTTACCAGTATACTGCCATAATATAAGTGACGTCTTTTATTACTAAAAGGATCTCTGTTTTCCAAGGATCACAGACCGAGCCTCACAAACGAAAAGTATCAGCAAATTGAAATAAATGGAGTAATTTCCAAGTCTTCTAAAGACATAAAAGTCTATTCATTTCATGTAACATTCTACTCGTTCATGATCACAACACGGGACAAATGTGCACAAGGCATCAGACGGCAAGTATTCATTTGTATCCCCTGAAAGTATGTCTATGAAAACTAATATTGTAGAAATAATTTTAAGCATTCAACTACACCATCCAATGACAGACTATCTTTCGGTCTAGAATATGACTGTAAAAGCCACAAATATCACTTCATGTATTTATAAAAAGCACATCTCCAGCTTATATATTTAAATGGTTTTAACTTATAACAGTGTAAAATTTAGACTGGTTATAGAAAATTAGACATTATTATCAATGCACGGAAGTTAAAATCTTATTTTTTACATGTCAAAACATAGAAGTTTAAATCAAATTAAATCAAGTAGAACAGTGAAAGGACCTTCTCAAAATGCAATGCATTTCAGGGAGAAGCAGTGCCGAGCATCCAAGTAAATGTGAAGGAATCAAAGAAACATGTTGAGATCAATCTCTCTGAAACTAAAGGCTATGAGAAACATGTCATCGTAGAACTAATCAATGAGAGAAAGCACAAAGCATCCATCAGATCAGCACCTTGCCATCCTGAAGACTGTAAAGGTATTACAAGCTTTTGCAATTTGTAGTACCCAAAAATGGACAAGGAAAGCCTTAGAAATGATCACTTACTTCATTTGTAATGTACACAGCTATCATTCTTGGTGAAGCTGACAAGCTATCAACAGATGCTTTGCTATATACCAAATGGATGTTAGAGAGATATACAGGTTGTTATATGGTCTTCTTTTGCTGCAGTGATATCACAAAGCTCCAGCCAATTAAGTCTATTTGTAAGGTTGTTCATCTCCAAAAACCTTCAGATGACGAGGTGCGTACACATAGTACCAATATGTATTGGATTGAAGCTATATATATATTAAGAACATAAAGATTTTTTACACTATCAGTATAATCTAACATGTTATAGTAGGTTACTTAAACTCATATATAATATGCAGCTCTCTCTTTCCTTAACTAACTTGAAAAAAGATTTTCTTGTTGACAGATTGCAGATGTCTTGGAATTCATAGCAAAACAGGAAGGAATCGAACTACCACATAAACTGGCAGCACAGATTGCTAGTAACTCCAAAAGTAACCTACGTCAAGCAATTCGCTCTTTTGAAGCTACCTGGCACTTCAAGTAATGTTCGGCTTTTATAGATAATGAATTATGTACACAATCCTCTATCAAGATTGACTGTTTACAAACAGCTTATTCTTTTCTATTGTCCACTCACTAACTATAGCAGAATGTATAATTATCAGCACTTGCTTGACTGAGAATCAAGAAATCAAGACAGGGTGGGAAGATGACATTGCAAAGATTGCTAAAAACATAATTGAGGAGCAAAGCTCAGAGCAGTGAGTATAACTTCACATCATCAAAAAGTTACTCTCTCGGTTCCATTTATATGACACACATTCCCTTTTAGTCTGTTTAAAAAAGGATAACACCTTTCTATATTTGGAAACTCTTTAACTTTAAACTTTCCATGTTACGCTTAATGACATGCTTTTATAGCCATAGAAAGATCATAACATTCTTAAGACCACAAGTTCTAAGGGTGCTTTTGGTATGTGTCAAAATTATTTTTTTTACTTAAATTTTGTGTCCAGTCAAACATTGTCCTATAACATGAAATGGATGGACTAGAAGACATTTCTATGACTATGAGGACATTGTTCACTTCACACTAAGGCTCTTCGACATCCCAATTAAGAGTTCCCGGCACTCATAATACTAAAATCAAGAGTTCATTTCTCTCAGGCTATACGATATCCGTGGGAAACTGCAGAATTTGATAGAGCACAACGTGTCTGCTGAGTTCATCTTTAAGGTAAGAGGTTCTTAGTCCTTATAACTATTGCTGGAAAATAATTGAAGCTTTTCACTAACTCTTATTTCTCATTTTTTACTTCGCTTCGTATATGGAAGACTTTGGTAGAAGAACTAAAGAGTAATTTGGATGACCAATTCCACAAGGAAATTGACACTCTGAAAATGAAGTACAATGTAATGAATTTTACACATTTCACTATTATATAGTCATTCTATGTTCACCAATACATTAATACAGAAGCAAATAACTAAACTTCTCTTTCTCTTTTTTTCTCATTCAGATAAATTCAAAGGATCTGGAACAGGGAAAAAGTGATAATGATGCAGTGAAAAAGATTGTTCACCAATTTATGAAGGTTGAAGGTATTTGATGGAAACTGTACTCATCATTTTTCCTTAAAAAAAAAAAAGACAATTCTCTTAATCTTGCACCAAATCTTTCATTAAAGCATTTGTCGCTCCTATAATACTCATCTACTATAGTCACCATATTTTAATCTTATGTGTTAATTTTTTATTTATCTTGTCATTCTCCTGGAAGATTGAGTCTTAGATATCTTAATTATTTGTATTTAAGTACCGTAATCTCGTCTAATCTTACTATATCTTGTACCAATTCATTTCTTCTCAAGCACCTACCAAAAGACATTCTTAGTACTCTATCTTAATGTCAACACATATCATGTGGAGATCCTTCTTCATTTCCCTATAATTTCAATCAATTTTCTTAGCAAAAATATAGTCGTTTGAGGTAGAACTACCTAGCATGAACCCAAATTGCCTCTTTTTACCATCGTAATGTACCTAAATCTATGCTCTATCACTATTTTCCAAAGTTCCATCACATGATTTAGTACTCATAAGTTCAAAAACTAAGATAGTCCAACAACTTAATATGGAGTTGTCGAATTGAACGCATTTACTGGGACACACATAAAATTAGAGGATCACATATATATATTCACCTATGGTTATACTTTCTTGACACTTTGAATCCCTTTTATTTTACATGCTATACTTGTTTAACCTTGAGGCCATATATATGGCACTGCAGTGGTAATTCAGAAATCAAGTTCATACCACGTTTCTGATTTATGCCACAAAAGTCCAAATGGAAAAAGAGTTGAGTATCAATGTTTCTAAAAGATTTGACTCTCTTTTTTTTTTTACTTTCTTTTTCCCTCTTTTTCACTGCAGAGTTCATAGCTAAATTCATGAGCTGGTATAAGACTTCTGTTCTGAAGAAAGGAAATCACAACCCCTCACAAGCCCATCCCTCCAAGGGAAATAATTAGTTTGGAAAAAATTCCATTTGAGTGATAAAGAATTTCCCAATCACTTTCTATGACAAACTTGGTTAATAACTCCTCGGTATTTCAGTTGTAAAATAAAGTGGCAATCACACTGAAGTCTGAAGCAGACATTTTATGTTCTTAAGATATAAAACTACGTAAGATAAATAAAAAAGGCACTCAATAAGTGTATGTTTTCATTGTTCTGGAAGGGCAGTTCTATGAGTTATTCTCCATCCATTCTAATATTATTTGACACTATTTTCTCATTACAGAAAAAGAATGTCACCTTGTTAGCTATTTTTTGCACGGCAGAAGCTTATTCCCTCGTTGCAAGAAATCACAGTTGGTGTATGTAATCTCATCTCCTCCTTCACTCAATGCCCTGTACATATTTCACCAACCAAATAGCAATTCCATCAACTACTATCAATTGCAGTCAATGAATGAAAAATAACTAAAATTATACCCACACGTACCTTTTCTGCTCTGCTGCAACACACGGTTAACTGTAGATTGACGCATTTTATCTGTTTGGAATAACATTTTTTGGTTATTGAGTGGCTTTCTCTTGATTGAAAAGGAAAAAAAAAGTGGCTTTCTCCGTTAAGTAAAGGGTTAGTGTATATCTTGCACTAATTAAAAGAATCCTACCTATTTGGATTGCTTGTTTTAAGTGTTTTTAAGCCAAAATCCTTTTAAGTTATTTTATAGTGTTTGGATAAAATTAAAAAAGGGGTTTTAAGCACTAGTTTTTAAGCTAAAATGATAAAAACAAGCCAAAAGCCAAAAGTTAAAATTCCTAACTTATGACTTAAAAGCTATTTTGGCTTAAAAGTTACTTAAAACAAGCTCATCCAAACGGGCTCTAATAATGTGTAGAGAGATGTATAAGTAGGAGTGGCAAATGGGCGAGTCGGATATGGTTTGGGTCAAAACGGGTAATAAAAAACGGATCAATTATTCGACCCGATCCATATTTAATACGGATAAAAAACAGGTTAACCATGACTTCTTGTATATGATCACTTTTGGGAGAATTCTTAGTCTCCCTAACTTGAGGAACCCCCAATTTGAGGCTTTACAAATGTAAAAGTTAGACTCATTGGTTATCCATTGGTTACTCGTTGGTTATCCATTTTCTAAATGGATAATATGGTTCTTATCCATATTTGACTCGTTTTTATAAAGTTCATTATTCAACACATTTCGTAGTGGATAATATGGGTGGTTAACTATTTTCTTTGAACCATTTTGCCACCATAAGGGACTAAATTGAACTTAATTCTATGTTTAAGGGACTAAATTGAACTTAATTCTATGTTTAAGGGACTATTTGAGTTTTTTTTTTCTCCCGCAGAATCGGGCGATTTACAGTCGTACCCTATATTTATGCCACTTTAACCTGTACCCTATTTTTAAAAACTATTGATTTCCTAACCAACTAACAAAAAATCCGTAATAATATGACCATTATACCCCTTTCAAAACATATAAAAGATGCATCAAGCATACCTAGATTCAAATTTCAGATCACCTCCGTATCTCCTCCATCGCTCCGTCTCTCTTGAGATCGCCTCTCGCAAAGCAGATTTGAACCAGATTCAAATTCCAAATTCAAAATTACAAAGTACATTGTAAGTATTCAAATTCATATTCAGAGTTCAAAATAGTTTTTGAATTATATGTTTTCTGATTGATTGATTGAAGTTGTTTGACGAACTTCACTGATATGCTGAATTTGCATTCTAAATCTATTTGACGTTGAATTCTAACATTCTAATCCGACAAATATGCTGAAATTTTTGGTTTATTTGCTAAACAAGTTGAAGTTATTTAGTTCATATCTAAAAAAATCACCAAAACGAGCTGACAAATAACATAACGAAGAAAAAATTATATTAAAATATTCTATGAGTATTATCATTGTTTATTTGCTAATCAAGCTTAAGTTATTTAGTTCATATTTAAAAAATTCAACAAAACGAGCTGAAGTTTTCATATTGCACAAAATTTCATATTGCACAAAAACTTAAGCATTAGTTGCTGAATTTTTTTACGTAATCTTTAAAAACTTCAGCAATATGAGCTGAAGTTTTTTAGTTAATATTTAAAAACTTCAGCAGAAGGAGCTGAAATTTTCCTATTACACTGGATAAAAAAAATAAAACATAAATTAAAATTATATATTGCACAAAAAACTTCAGCATATGGGCTGAAATTTTTCAGTTAATCTTAAAAAACTTCAGCAAGAAGAGCTGAAGTTTTTCTCCTACATTGGGTAAAAAATAAAATATAAATTAACAACAAATGAAGCTGAAGTTTTCCTCCTGCACTATGTATTTTATTATCATTTTTTGTGGCGGGTTTCATTAATGAAAAGAAAAGCGGAGGCCCGCCATCTGCTAGCGTTGTGGTTTTCCATCGATTCTTTATCAATGGCCCACCCTTTCTTTGAACCTTGTCAATGACACGTTAGCTTATGAAGATTATGACTTCCTCACTTGACCTTCTTTCTAGCCTTTTATTTTGATTTGAAATGGCACGATGCTTAACACATGTAATTGGAGTCTGTTTCGGGGCTTACAGAAGGTTAATTCACTATGGGATTGGTAGTCCCGTCTGCTCTGACGTCGGAATAATTATTATAATATGATGATAGCACCTGATTAGCAAGAAATTCCCTGCTCTCCTCTTAGCAATGATCTGTCTAGGGCTACTTTCAAAACTGCGGATTCTGTAATAAGACCCTATTCATGGGCATTCTCTGACTTAGAATCGAATTCATACCCGCTGTTGAGGAGTTGAAGGCTAGATTGGTGGCCACAGGATACACACAAGAGTATTGAGTCGAAAACTTCATACCAAAAAATGCTTATGTTTTCAGGAATATGTAAAACATTTTTCATATAATTTTTTGTATGCTGAATTTTTTAGTTCATCTGCTAAAAATGCTTAATATTTTGTCGTGCAATATGTAATTTTCGGATAAGTTTTTGTTAATTGCTCTGTTATTTTCTAAGTTTAAAAAGAATTTTTAGTTCATGCTTGAAGTTTTCATCAAGCACTGTGTATTTTCGGATTAGTTTTTGTTAATTCCTGCTGAAGTTATTTTGTTCATTTTCTCTGCTATTTTTCGAGTTTATATAGAATTAATATTAAAAAAAAGCACAAAAAACTTAAAACTAAAACTGAATATTTCATTAAACATTAAAAAAGACAAATTAAATTACATAAATAACAAAATAACATAAATAACAAAAAGAAAAACTAATCGTCCATATTATCATCATCGTCGTCGTCGTCACTACCAGATGGACGAGCATCTTCATCAGCAAGATTATCAAATCTTGCATACATCAAAGCGTATCAAGCTTATTGTTAATTTCTTCCAGCTCCCTGTCATACTTGTCTATGAGCTCATCCAGTTTCAGCTCAAAAGCCTCTATAATGTCTTGCTTGATTCTTCCACTATTTGTCTAATGACAGCATCCATTTTTCTCCTTTTTGTATTTTATGTCTGCTAAAATAATGTGTTTGAGTGAATAAACTCATAAGGTATAGCATGCTTATATAGGGGAAAAAACTTCTGCATGGTATATGAAAAGGCAAAGAGGAATTTTAAACGTTGTCTAATAAAAAGCGTGCATGAATGTGATAGGAATGTAATTATTACACTAATACATGCCCCCAACGCAATATAATTACTACTTTAATTGTGTAGGTTACTCCTGTATACTATGCAATTAATGCTGAAACATGCTCAAATTTGTTGAATTCATTTGCTAAAATTTTAGCCCAATGTGCTGAAGTTATTTAGTTCATTTCTAAAATCTTCAGCACTTAATGAGCTGAAGTTGTTTTCCCTGCATTCATGAATCCCTGTCATACAGCTTTTTCAAAAAAACTTCAGCTGATATGCTGAAGTTATTAAGCTTATTTCTAAAAACTTCAGCACTTAATAAGCTGGAAGTTTTCTGTGCAGGATTCATTAATTATGTCATATATCTTTTTCCAAAAAATTTCAGCAGAAGATGCTTAAGTGATTTAGTTCATTTGTAAAAACTTCAGCACAAACAACCTAAAAATTCTTCTATTCACTTTCCCAATACTTGCCACTAAACATGAATCTGCAGGATGAGTTCAATTTGCGTTGTTATAACTTTCAATGGGAGTTGAACTCTTGATTTCAAATACTTGGATCATGATACAAAACTTGTTCTACTTGATAAGCATGTATCATTCAATACTTTCCTGAAGAAAATTAGTGAAGTTGCAAATATTGATTCAACCAGATATGCACTAAAAGTATGGTTTGATATCAAGCTAAATACAAGCAAAGGAATGCTTGTAACTTCAGATGAAGAACTCAGTACCTGTATACATTTGCTTACAACTGATTCAGCCTACAAGAATTGCAATTTCTTCATCGAAAAAATATAACCTTCCGAATCTGCAGCATTCAAACAATCTCTTGCATATGCGATAGATTCAGAATCTTTTGCTGATTATCAACATGAAGTAGGACAACCACTAATGGAAGTAGACAACGAGCAACAACCTTCTAACATTACAACTGCTTCAGACTATACAATGCTGCAACAATTACCCGCTCCTCCAATAAATTCATACCAGTTTGTCGATGACCAAGAAGAAGAAGGACAACTAATAATGCAAATTGACAACCAACACACAATCCAAGAAAGTTTTTTATTACCTTCTTTAGTGATAAGCAACAACGAAGATGAAGTAAACACGGAGCTTATACCGATAACATCAGATAGAATTGAAGAAATTGCTGAAACTTCTAGTGTTTCTCAGAAATCAAGAAAAAGAGTGAGGAGAAAGCTGAAAGAATCTCCACCATGTAAAATACTTAGGCACGATGCGTTGCCTGAGGAATTAAGAGTTGGATAAATTTTTGAGAACAAACAAAACATGACTAAATTTTTCTGCAACTTGGAGATAAACCAGAAAGTTGAATTCACTGACGTTAGATCATGTTCAAAGAGATACGAGCTAAAATGCATCGTGGACAAATGTGGTTGGAATGTACGTGCTACCAGAATAAAAAATTCCACACTATTCAGGGTGATAAAATATCATAACATCCATGAATGCTCTGTTGATGCAAGAAAATCATATTAGAAGCATGCTACATCAAATTTTATAAGTGAACAAATTATATAACATGTTCTAGACAAAAAGATATAGGTTATACCAGCCTTTATAGAAAATGAAATGAAAAAGAAATTTGGAATTGACATTGGTTATCACAAGGCATGGGCTATTCAAAAAGTTGTTGCTTGCATAAGGGGAACACCTGAAGAGAACTACCAGATTCTTCCTTCATAGCTACACATGATGGTGGACAAAAACCCAGGAACGTACACAAGCATAAAAAGAGATGCACAGAATAGGTAAGCAAAACAATATTAACCATCAGCCTGAAGTTTCAAAAATGTTCCTATTTGAAAAACTTCACACTTTATGATTTGTTTTTTTTGTGTTTCACTGTACAAATTTGCTTACATGTTCTTTGCTCTTGTGGCATCAGTAACTGGTTGGTCCTGTAGACCCGTTATTGCAGTAGATGCAAC